GGTCAGCTGAATTGCGAAAAGTTTGATCAGCTTTGTGTCTGGTTTCTGTAAGGCCAACAAAATCAGTATTGAAATCTGAGAAAAGTCGTTGATAAACTGATTTTTGATTGAACATTGAAGAGAATTGACGTTGTGTGTAGCAAAAGTAATGGTAGGGGCAGGTGAAGACGTAACATTCAGTTGGGATAAAAACATGGGTGTATTGTTATCAGTATTAAGAAGATTATTATTATTATTATTATCAATCATAAATGGAGATAAGGGGTAAGGGTGAGAGAATTATTGTGTGTTCTTGTTGGCAAGAATGATGATTTGAGCTATTGCCTCTTTTAGTTGTTTATGAAGATCTCCGATGATAGCATTTTGTTCATCCATATATTCTTAAAGTTTAGGGTCGACAGGTTTAGAAGTGGAGGTGTTTTCATCGGATGATGAGTTAGCAATACGGGTACGTTTTTTTTGATTGAAATTTAAGACTAAGTCATGTGAAGCAGATTTATAGGGGATGTTAGAGGTGGAAAGAATGAAGGTAGAGTCTGAATTGAGTTCATGCTTTTCTAATTTCGAGATGCGTGCTTCTAATTCAGACATATCTTTTTGCATCTTTGTCAACATGTTAAGGATTTTGTCAAGTTTTTTGTTTGTTTCGTCTGATGCAGTATTTTGAGGATTGTGAATAGAATCGTCGATTATTTGTGGTCCTTTTCCTTTGTTGATAATTGGTTTTGAAGGTGTAGGAATTTGTTGATTTGTCCTCTTTTGGGTGGTATTTTTGACGATGAGTGAGCGAGATCTAACAGGTTTAAAGCGATTGTAGAATCATTAAACGGAAGGTAGTTTAGATCTAGGAGGTCTGGGTTCATCAACATCGTCTGTTGATTTTTTTTGTTCTAGAATTATAGGGCATTTCATGACTATGTGGTCAGCTGCGTCACATTTATGGCAGCATTTGGAGTCAGCTGCACACTATTGTAATTCATTGTTACTAAAAGCGTAATCATTGGTGATGACTTTCTTTAAGTCCTCAGCCGATTCGAAATAAAGAATGGTGAATGGTCTAGGTTTATAGTTATTCGAACGGGGGATATAACAAGATTTTGCTTTGACGGCAAGCATAATATCTTGAAAGTCACAGGCGGATGTTCCAAAGGGAAGGTTAGTTAATTTAACCCTATATTCATTCCTTTCTTTGACTTGTTCTAGTGAGAAGCATGCAGGTAAATGCGAACACAATCATTGTAAATATACCTAGACCATGTTGTGTAAAACAATTTGATTGCATCTGGATTGTCATAAGTGATATATGTATGTTGCCATAGGTCTCTGGTCTGCATGCAGATATTTGTAATGGTACTATATTTAGAGAAGATTGAGGTGATCATTTCTTTTTTCAAGCTGAGGTGAATGTCAATAATACGCAAAGTTCTGTTTTGGAACTGTGTGTTATCCTTATATTCAGTATAATCCACAAATTTATCAATACCCAAATCGGAAAGTTGGATGGTGAGCGTGGCTTGCATAGATTCTGCATTATCAAAGTAAATAACTGCAGAATGCATAAAATTTACACAGCGTACATTCAGCCCTCTGAATGCGTCATCATGCGCAAACACATTATTGATCACACAGATGATTTGGGGGGTAGGGAGTTCCTTAATATTTTTGCTAATAGAGATAGCATAAGCAAAAGAGAGGGACGAGGAATGACAATGAAATCAGTGTTTTCAGTTTCCATGTTCGTATTATCTTTGATGAGAACAAACTCTTGGGCGTCGAAAATGTTTAGTGGTGGGGTGGACTGTCCAGCGTAAGTATCATCGACAATATCCTTGTTACTGACCAAGGAAGGGATGGGCTTTTCTCCGAGGTGAGAAAAGCCACTAGCCTCAAGTTGTTTGGCTTTGAGCGAGTCGTAACGACCTTTGTTAGTTTTGTTGACAGAAAATTTTCTAACCATTTTGTAAAATTTTCGAATAAAATAAACTCTTTCAAATATATTAAAATGTTTTGTAAAAGTGAGCTAAAGAACTAGCTAACAGAGTTGTAAAGTTTTAAATAAAGTTTTAAGCGAAACAATTTATTTTCTCAGTAAATTTCTAAAAATTTTTAGAAATTCAGAGTGAAAGGAGAAAGAGTTTTTTGAAAATTCTATAATATTTTGAATTTGAGTATTGTTTAATTTAGAGATATCACTTGTGCTACAAGTGACTAATTTAATTCTATCGATTCTAACCCCTTTTTCTCCAAATAGCATAAGAATATTTTTAGTTCTATGTATTCAAATTCACAAATTACTCAGAGTGACATTAGATAAATACTGTAACATTTCTTTGTATATCATCAATCTTGCTATCTTATCTTTAGTCTTGTCATCAGCTGTAATATTTTTTACTTTTCTTCAAACTCGAGGAATAATGATACAAATATAAGATTTCTTTTAGACCCATTCTCATAGCCTCATCAATCCAATAAGCTAATCTTTGTGTAAAGCCCTCAATTGTGTTGTTTAAGATGGACTCATCATGTAGTTTAACTGATATCACTGAAGAAATAGGTCTAGAAAGTTCATGCTTCAAAGTTTACTCAGTGACTTGATTTCTATCAAGCAGTTGTGTAGCAATCAGCCCAGACATTTCATCAGATAGGGTATTCTCGCTATCAGTACAAGTGATCAATTTCATTTCATATGATAAGTTGTCTTCAATGGATGATGAGGCAGAGATATTATCGCTATACTAAGTAATAATTTCAAATCTTGATTGTTACCATTGGTAACGATTTTTTGTCATATGATAATTTTAAATGGATTTGATTTTTAGCTGACTCATGTAAAAATTTCTTCTACTTATTGCATTGCTTTATTTCACTACTAACAATTTTCTTATAAGCCTCAAGTAAGAAACTATTCATATCTTTCTCTTCTAATGATTTACCGTTAGCCATTAAGACGCTTCGTAGGCATTTTACAGAATTGGCAGATACCGTAGCCACCTCTATTACCAGTTTTTGTTTATTATAGCAATCTTCTTTAAGAAAGGAATTATCCATTTTCATATTCACTAATAGTTTCTCATGATACTCCGCAATTGGATTAAAGTTAGATGTACTATCATCAGAAGGATTACCATTATTTAACTGTTCTTCTACTAATAAGGAAGCCCATTTCACTATTGCAAGTCTGACTTTGAGCTTCTTATTTTTTTGTACTAGTTCCTCAACTCTAACATCACGTCTGGTATTCCCTCCATAATCTGCTTTAGAAGCTCAGCTTTTTCAGCTTCAAGCTTGGCATTCTTAGCTTCAAGTTCAATGATACTCTGTTTTAATACTTCAAGCTCAGATCTCATGATTGATAAATTTTATACAAGAAATGGAATATTCAAAAGTAAGTTGATATATATACATAGAGACTGTGACATTTTACCAAGAGAAATTTATAAAATCATCAGATTTCTGAGACTGCACAGTCTCAGAAAAATGCCAAGAATATTTTACGTGATCTATTTATAATGCAAAAAACCTTTTGAGCAGATGATCACTGTTCTGGACTACCTTCGCTCAGGTTGGTTATCCAATATATACCTCTCAATAAGTATTGCATTCCATTCAGATTAACAATACCAGACTGACTGATATAATTTTTAATCCCAGTTATAATACCAGTCACTGATTCTTTTTTTGCCTGAATAAGCATTTCTACCAATTCACAATAATAATCATTTTTTGCAATAAGTCTCATATTTTTTCACGTTAATCCACTATAGAATTCACTTCTAAAATGACCTTTACAGAGTTTGACGATATCATTATATTTCTTCGCCTTTAAACAGTAATCCACTATTAATTCTTCACCTTGAATAAACAATCTAGATTAAAACTTCTCAATACCATCTAGTCATATTTTCTCTTGAAGTTCATACAGATAATATGGCAATTTTATCAGACTTAATATTTGCGAAAGATAAAAGGCATCAGATTGTAGGAATACATGGAATAATAACATTGGATTTTTTACACTGGGCAAAGCAAATACAAATTGCTTAAGTACTTTCTTCCTCTAATACTTGACCGCTTTTGTCTCCTAATAGGTTTTGATTATGCAAAAAAGATTGTCTCAGTATCTTTACTCATCAGGATTTCTTACATTATCCCATCTATATTTCAATTCAAATTCTTTGATAAATTCATTATAGGCCTCATCCGTTTTGTCATCAGACATTTTGCTAATAGACTAATTATACTATGCGTCATAAATAATATATGCTATATCTTTAACAAAAAATAGCCATTAATCATAAAGGCATTTCACAAGATGTTTTGCAAAATTACGCAGATGATGGATCTAGCAAAATTTGCCAAAGGCGCTGTGCATAGCTCAGTAAATTCTTCTGAGTTAAAGATCACTGCTCAGGACTGCTTGGCTTAGAAGAATAATCATCTTTTTGTGAAAACTCTAGCTCCTGTGCTAATCTATCTAATATTAATTTAAGATTAATTATATAGGCTTCTTATTGAAATTCAGGTGCAACCCTGCTAGAAATACCTTTAATATTTTTATTTGTATTTTCTATAATTTTATCTAAACTTTCTATATTGTACAAATTGATATTAAATCCCATATTTTACTATATGAGCCTATATCTTTAATTGAAAAAATAATATTAATATATGCATAGTGACTTTCCTACCCACTTGCTCATACGCCAGAAAAAATATATAATATTTATTTTTAATGCTGTAACTTATCTTCCCTATATATTTATCATTCACTAGTCTAGCTTATAAAAAGCTTTGCCAAAAGACAGTTAGATTGACATTGCTCTGAGCATTTATTCTATTTCATTATCTGATCTTTCACGATTCTCCTCTTTAGCTATATGATAATAAAGCTTGTATAATTCTTCTAGGTTGTCATACAGATCATTATCTGCATATCTTTTGCGATAATTTTCTAGTCTTAGAGTGTATGTCTCTTTGTTTGGAAACATCTTGACTGTGACTGTCTTAATATACTCATTCAGATTCTTTTCAGCTCGCAATTTCTTTAGATAGTCTCTATAATTTTTCACAAGATTATCATATTTTTTATCCTTTCGCAATGCAGTTTTTATGACTTTGACTTGCGCAAGTTCTATATCCTTATAATCGACCATTTTTGTATTGTTTCTACTATAATGATAAAAAAACTTTAATTAATAAAAAATATATTCTTTAGAATTTTTTTATCTGAAAAAATATTTGTTATAAAATATTTATGTCTTGATAAAAGTTTAACTTTCATAGCCCTTTCTTCTGCTTTCTCAGGAGCTATTTCGAATGTCACCAGGCGTTTATATAATCTAATTCGCCAATGTTCATATGAGAGAGTTCAAATTCCATCAAGTAAAATCCAGCGCTTGTTATCATATGGATTCAGCCCTATCTTATTTACCCTCTCTAAATATATTTAATAATCATAACTTCAGAAGTCATACATATCATATCAGATTAGTCTCTTGTTCCTAAGACATTCTAGAAACTTGTCATGTCGAAGCTCCCTTTTGACTACGCATTTCTTTATATTCTTTGCCTTTTAGATGCCATGCTTTTTCTTCCAATACTTTACATCCTGAGATTTTCTAAATTCTTTTTCTTCTAACTCTTTTTCGAAATCTGCATCTGTTTTAAAAGTTTTAAAATTATGGCCTGCTGGAAGAACTGAATACATTTTTGGCTTTAAGCATACTAATTCGCCTATTGGATCCCCTTTTATTTCATCCTTCATTAGAAATAAGTCTCTCGAATAGTTAAGATCGAAAATGTCTGGTCTTTTTGCTTGATCTTTATAGATATCCCCAATTTCTATCTATATGATAAGCGAGTCTGTATCTGTATAAAGTAGACAGGCCTTTTTTTCATAGCGAGACTTTATGTAACTATACTAAAAATTAAACATCATGGTCTTGCTAATGTCGAGAATTGTCTACCCTACATAGATTAGTTTGTTTAAAGTTATTGTGCTCTTTAATATATGAATGGCTATAATTCTCCCCTCAAATTGTTTAAACCCACAAATAATGGAGAACTTGCTAAACGCTTAATTTTTTTATCCTCTTCTGTTCGAAGTAATTCTACTTTCATATATTTTTGAACATTTTCTATCTGTTTACCAAAGACTGCATTATTTTTTAATTTATAGTATATAACTCCAAACTCATCCCCAGTGGCCTTAGCTATTTTGCATTTACAAATATTTTTTTCAATATATTCTTTCATCTATGAAAACTGCCAGAATTTTAATTCTCTATGAATCTTTGTAACTTTCATCCACATTTTCATGTATAACTGGAGTGCACGATAATGAATCACGTAGTTCTTTTTAAAATAAAGAGTTTAGATAAGCTTTTCTCTTGTTATATATTTTCCGCCTCCAACTTCTTTATCATGTACTAATCTTTTATTATGCAAGCTAAGCTATTTTTCTGGAACTATCTGCTTTTCTGATACTAAAGGATAATCCGCAAAGAAATCATGCAAGTACACTGAGGCTTCTAAATTAACTTCCAATATATATTTTATTTCAGCATCTGGTGCAATGCTTTATATATCCAGAACCTGTTCTGGGCTTACTTTTTCTAATATTTTTGTAGGCATGTATTGGGTCATCGTATCTGAATATAAAGTATTCATATCATTATATAAGATCCAAGATGTTAGTTTGCCTGAATTGTAATCGAAATATTTAGGATTATTAGCTTTGGCATAATGGTGACTTGCCATTGTCATGCCTTCACAAATGCCTTTCTCAACCATCAAGTACTCGTCCATATCTGTCATTAGCTTAAGTTCAGCTCCACTACTTTTGTATAAGAAATCATTAAACATTTCTGGTGCAGATACATAATGAGAGAGATCTAAGTCATCATCATTCAAGCACATGATAGTGTAGTTCATGAAAACGTCTACAAGTAAAAGTATGTCAGTTTCAAGATATAAGTCATAATATTCTCCAAAATTTTTCATCTCAAATTCCTGTCATACTTTTTACTAATATTTTGCTGGCTAAGAAGCAAATAGAAACTCTTTTTAGGTAGGAGGCTTGTTCTGTCAAATTTTTCCCATGTATTTATCCAGTTGTATGAAAAAATGCCTTTTTGAAAAAGAAGCTTAATCTTATCTATTGAATAGCCTTTCTTAATAAAATACCTAACAGTTAGGGAAAATTTTTCAAGCTTTCCTCCTAGACATTCTACTAATTTATCTAATCCCATTTCTATATACTGAAAGCTATCAAGAAATCAGAGCTAGCCAATGTCTATGGTTTTGTACTTTCCTATATTTTCTGGAATGCAATTTAGCTTATCAGTCATGAACTTGCTCATAACTTTCATAAGCGGATGAGAATTATATCTCTGAAAATTATGATATATAAGAAGCACTTTAGTTTCGAAAGAGCCTATTTGCAATTTTTTGTTACAAGAGTCATGAGCTGAGCCTCGGTACTTTTCATTTATATGATTATGATCTTTTACTTTTTGATTAAGTGCATTTAAAGCTTCTCAATATCTTTTTTGTGCCTCTTTCTTTTAAGGATGTTCTTTTTCTATGCATGTTTTCCACTCTTTGATTTCTAATAAATTATGCTTTGCTTCTTCAAGTTTTTGTAATATCTCTGGTGCTGGTTTTAAAAAAGGTCCTTTGCAAATCCAGCATTCTATCATCTTATTGTATGTTTTAAGATCTCCTGATGCTATTATCATTTCTGCAGGCGCAGATAAGTCCTTCTGTATGTTTGCTAGCTTCTCCTCAATTTTTGTAACAAATCTTTTAGGCGCATCTGGACTCCTATATAAATCTTGACTTATGATTTCATAGTTGAGTGAACTATCCATATGAACAACTATATAGCAATAGCCATACGGCTTATGCATCTGTAATCTTTCAGTATGAGTTAACTTCGTCTTCTCTTCGAAAGTTAACTTTTCAGTTAACATTTTTAGATCCTAAAAAATGCGATATGGATAATGCTCCAAACAGTTCAGTTCAGTCCAGATTATAGGCCAATCTGAAACTAATTCAAAAATTTTGGTTCAGTTCAGTTCAGATTATAAATCCTAAAAGTGCCAATCCGAAACTGAACTGAACCGTAAACTGGTAAAAATCTGAACTGAACCGAAAATTTCAGATTAATCTGAAATTTCAGATCATTTGGAACGATCCTTTTATCGTTCTTTTAGAACAATAACTTCAATCATTCCAAATGAACAATTTTCTCATTGTTCGTTTAGAACGATAACTTCAATCGTTCCAAATGAACGATTTTTTTATCGTTCAATTGGAATGATAATTTAATCATTCCCAATCAAACGATTCTTTTATTGTTCTTTTAGAATGATAATTTAATCATTCCAATCAAACGATTCTTTTATCATTCATTTAAAATGATAACTTCAATCGTTCCAAATGAACGATTTTTTTATCGTTTGTTTGAAATGATAACTTCAATCATTATAATCAAATGATTTTTTTATCGTTCGTTTGAATGATAATTTAATTGTTCGTTTGGAACAATAATTTCATCGTTCTAATCAAACGATTTTCTTATCGTTCGTTTAGAATGATAATTTCATCGTTTCAATTGAACGATTTTCTTATTGTTCATTTTGAACGATAACTTCAATCGTTCCAATCGAACGATCCTTTTATCGTTTGTTTGGAATGATAATTTCATCATTTTAAATGATCTGAAATTTCAGATTAATCCGAAATTTTTGGTTCAGTTCGAATTTTTTCAGTTCAGATTAGATTTATAATCGAAAAAAATCCAAACTGAACCAAAAATTTTCAGATTGAAATTTTTGCAATCCGAAACTGAACCGAAGTTGATCTGAACTGAAAATTTTTGGATTAATCTAAACCGTTCGGAGCTTTAGATATAGATTTGGTTACATGCATTTATAATTATAGAAAGCTTTGACACTCCCATTCTTCACTGGCATTTGTGATCATTGGAAGGTATTATTTAGACCCTTGCATTTTAGCAAATGTTCATTATATCTTATCTCTGAAGAGCAGTGATGTACATTTTTGATGTCCCAGAGATTTGTTGTCCTAGCTATATGTCCTAGCTATATGTCCTAACCTGTTTCACACTATGTCCCAAAGGTCTTATTTGTCTCATCTATGTTTCATCAGCATCCCATCAGTGTCTCATCAATATCCCATGATAACACTGCTGTAGAGTATACATGAAGACAATATCAGCAGATGTATTTTCGTCCTTTATGCTTGTTATGATTATATACTAACTTGTAAAGTTCTTTAATAATACAGTAGTGGCTTCTATCCTCTTCTGTGATTACTAAAAGATTTACAGATCTATATTCATCCTCCTTCTCTCTGAAATATAATGAAAGTTTAGACATTTGTTCTGGTTATGCCACTCATAGACACATAGGCTGATATTGGGATTATTTTCCTCAAATTTGCGATATACTGGTATCGAAACAGATACTGGTACTGGGATATCTTCTATATTGAGTTTCTTTACAAAACCTCTATATAGCTAATGCGGATTTCTTTCTGGATAAACTTTAATTGGATGCAAAACTCCTAGGATACTTCAACCAAAATACCAGTTATCATTATTTTGAATATTAATAATTTTATTATTATGTTTTGGCAAAGTTTCAGATAAAGGTATATAAGCAGTAGGACCAATTAGATTAAAATCAGCTATTTTTATACTAAATTCTTCTATATATTCTGGGTAAGTATCAGATATTTGGTATATTAATTAACTCTAACCATCGCGCTATTACTTGCTTATATAATTTTTTTTTTAATTATTTATTTTCTATATACCTATCACTTTTTGATTATAGAAACCCTACTGAAGATAAGTATTTACAAGCTTTCTAAGTAGTTCTAGCTATTGCAAAACTAAAGTATTAACTAATTATTAATTAACCTTTTCGAATCTAGTAATAAAAAAGTAGGATGATCAGTGAATATTCTTGTCTATTTCTCTGCGATACTGAAAAGATTTGTAGGAATGCTAGTACTAGACCCGAAGGATGTCGATTCTATTGGAAGGCCAAAAAACGTATATCTTGTTCTGATTACGAAAAGCTTACAGCTTCTGCTTGTAAACGATGTTCACTACATGTTAGAGGTTATTATATTACCTAATACTATGATAGATTTCAATGAGAAAGAACTTATGTTAGTCAATCCTATGCTAGCCAATTCTATGATAGACTTCGATCAGAGATACGAGAAAGAAGTTATAAGAAAATAATAGTTACCTATAGAAATACGCTTACAAATCTTAATATTTCTCTTTGTAAAAAATGCCTCATTCTGATAAAAATGGGAAAAGAAGATTATTGCGTTAGTTACCAACCAGAATAAATGAAGATTATTTTGACTAACTTAAATTTTAGGCATAATTCCAATGGGCAATTGCTAAATTTTTATTAGACTTGTTTTTTTATATTTTTTTCGTTAAAGTTTTATATTATTTGATGAGCTAGCCTATACTGAACCCATTCTTGATTAAGGAAAAGTTAGGACAATTCTATGGATTTTGCAGGGGTGATATTTCATTAGACTTTATATATAATATGATTTTTAGTAAGCTAGCCTATATTGAACCCATTCTTGATTAAGAAAAAGTTAGGACAAAAATCTCGTTAGACTTAATTTTTCGTAAGACTTAATAAATATAACTTAAAAACTGATATCAATTTTATATCTCCCACAGACACATAATGTTATAAATCATAAGGAAAAGTTGAAACAAAATTCTCGTTAGATTTATTTAAAGATTATGCAATTTAATGAACTAGCTTGTATAGAAACCATTTTTGTCTATAGTAAAATTCGTTAGATTTAAAAGGTCACATGATTTTTTCAATATGCTAATTTATGTGCAAACTCCTGCAAAAGCAATTCTTGATTAAAAAAAAGTTAGGACAAAAACTGTTAGACTTATTTTGGTTAGACTTAATTTTTCGTTAGACTTATTTATGAGAAAATAAGGACTATTAAACTTATTTTGATTAGACTTAAGTAATTAATATACAATTTAATGAAGAAAATCATGTAGAATCAATTCCTAATACACATTATTTAGTTAGACTTAATAAATATAACTGAAAAATGATATAGAAATTAAAGTTCTAGAGCCTTTAGATGCTTTTCTAATATAATAAAAACAATATTAATTTTACATCTCCCACAGGCATACAATATCATGAAGATACAGACATTCTGTCCTCAAACCCCCATAATGACATTGTATAAGCTAGAGGTACAAAATTTTATATAACTAAATCTAGTTAAACAAAACTTCACTGTATTAAAAAAAAATTTGTTATAGAAACAATTCGTTATAAAAAAAGTCATTTTATATATAAATTTTTCTGACTTTAATTTGTTAAATATAGTATGAATTTTTAATTACCAAATTCAGTATAGTAAGATTTTTTTATATTTAAAATCTGTTCTTTACTGAAATCTGTTGTATTATAAAATTAATTATATTAAACTTCATTATAGAAAGAGTTGACTGTAGGCTATTTATTTTACTAAACTGATAAAATATTATAATACTTTAATTAAATTAATAGCTTTAGAATAAATATATATTTAATAGTTACTTAGCATAAAAAGTTAAGTAACTGTAATATTTGTAATAAGTAATGTGATTAGTAAAATTTGCTAAGCTTTATTTAACAAATTTTACTTATTATATTATTTATTATAAATATTTATAAAATATAATAATATTATAATTATAAAGTTATGAAATACTAAGAAATTATTTATTAAATTTAATTATAAATTTATTTAAAAGGTTATTTAAATTTTTTTTAAAAATAAATGATTTTTATATATCTAATTTATTTTTTATTTATTTTTAATTTCTATAATATAATGTAAAATATTTTATTAAAAAGTAATTTTATACCTTCTTTTAATTAACTTACAATATTTCTAAAGGCAAAGTATTTAAAAATACAATAAATAATATATAAAATGAGTTAAAATTATAAACAAGTAAAAAATAAATATTTATTATGATTATCTTCTAAAAAGTTAAGATAAATATACTATTAAATTTTAAGTTATACAATTTATCTACAGTATATCTACTAAAAAGGATAATCTCTATTATAAACTTATTTAAAAAAATGTTTTATTTGCAATTAATAAATACTTATAAAATGTCAAATCGAAATGAAAGTATAATTTATATAATAAATAATTTTCATTTTATATACTCATTTTGATAATCTTCTTAAGAATATTAAAAAAGGATATTGAAGAAATAAAACCTATAAATATATTATTAACTACTGAAATTCATCATATTATTTATAATTAAATTTTAATGTTTCTTTAGATTTAGTAAAATATATTTTCTTTTAAATTTATATATTTAGTATATTAAAAGAAGGTAAACACATTAATTTACTTGCTTCTCAATTAGTTAATACTTTAAAGGTATTCTTTTAGAAAAGAATAACAAAAAAAATGATTAAGATGGAATTAATAATAATAAATTCAATTTAAATATCCCTTTTCTTCTAATTCTCTTAGAATTGCTGATCTAAATTATAATATTAAAAATATCTTTCTCTTTAACCTAAAAAAGAAAATATTTATATCTTTATTTATCAGTTAACTAAAATACTAATAGTATTATTTTTGCATTAAATTGTATGTTATTTATTAAATTTAATATAAAAAAATTAATACATTAGCTATAGCTCAAGAAATTTGGTATAATAATAAGTAATTAGATGATTGTATTATCTGTTTTATGTTTAGAAATATATTCATTGTATGTGAAATTGATATTAAAGGTAGAAATATTTGTAATTATTTAGGAAGAAAAACAAGTATAATTGAATTGTTTAATCTTGAAGTTTTTGAAAATATTAGCATGACCATTACTAGGTATTGCTATTAATTGTACATATACTAACCAAATTATAATAACAAAAAAAAAGCATTTTCTGATATTATTAACTGATTTAATGGACTTCTTATATTAATATTATCAGTAAGTATTTTTTATTTATTTTAAAATATTATACATAAATATAATTTTTGTAATTTTTTTAGGCAAAAAAAAAATTTCAATTGATAAATCTAACATTTCAGATTCAGAGGATCAATCATTTACTTCTTTATCTGACAGAATTTGATTATTTTAACCAGGATAATGAAATAAATAATATCTAATATTCATAAATAATTTTAATAATTTTTATAATTTTAAAAATGCTGTATGAAAAGTTCTAATTTGGATGGTGACATCTTTCATACCGCCAAAGAAATAATACCAAACGTCCTTTATAAGATTGCAATGATGAATATCTGATGATGCAAAGAAAAAGAAAAAAAATTTATAGTCCACGAAAAAGTAACGGTAGTCAAGAAATATTATTATAAAAATTGCACATTTTACAAATAAATAAAATGGATAAAATATTATTTATAGCTGTAAAACTAATTGCATAGTAAAAAAATATTAGTAACAAGTTGTACTAGTATATAAATCATCAATTAGTGAACGTTCGCTAAGATTTATAAAAAAAATTATTATTTTGTCACAAAAACAGAACATGTTAATGTCATATATTGTAATGAGTAAAGATGATACTGTAATTAAAAAATTGCAACTTAAAAATTATAATTACTAATGCAACTTTTTAAAAATTTAGCTAAAGTTGCAATTAATTTAAGTTGCAACTTTTATTATAATTTGCAATAGTTATCAATAAAATCAATTTCACGTGATTTCTGTTATATCTAATTAATTATCTGTCGAGCGAAATCTAGAGGTTTCGACAGGCGAAACCGTCGAAATTCATCGAAATCGAAAAGGGTTCGACTTTTGCCAAAATGGGATTATCTTCCCCAAAAATTGTAACCAAAAAAAAAATTTCGAAAATGTAATCGTATAATAATTTTTCAAATTTTAATATTTTTTAATGGATTAATTTTTATCTTGGATAATTACTAATGATAGATTTCTAATGGATAAACGCCTACACGTGGAATTATCCTGAGGTGAACATGTGAAATTGATTTGATCTTAAGATAATTTAAAGTTCCCATTATAGAGATACTCCGAAATTGCTCTCTATGTAGAATTACAAACCGTTTTGGAACAAAGTTCCACAAATCGGGCTTAAACATAATGTTTGATTAATAATACTCTTTTTTAAAACATCCAATAAACTTTTGTAATACATAGATTAAAATTTTTTTTATAAATCTCGTTTCCTTTTTTTTTTTTTTTTTTTTTTTTTTTTTTTTTTTTAAAAAAAAAATAATTTGGTGAATACCTTATTAGTTCAACTCGAGAATTTGATAATGATTCCCACTACACAACGAAACGGCTCTCTAATAGTTGGATGGAGACTACAAGAGCGTCATGTACTTATCATTGGCGGTAATCATATCGCAGCAAATCGTATTGAATTTGCTTTAGACGCAAGGCCTCATAAAATAACTTTGATAACATCTCATACTAATATCTCTTCCGATAAAGTTAAAGAACATATCGAAAAAAAAAATGTTATTCATAAAAATAGAGAGTTTGAAGCAAGTGACCTTTTTGAAAGTAATAATTCACCTGTAGATTTAGTTCTTTCTGCAGTTGATAATCCACAACTTTCAGAAAAAATCGCTACTGCTGCTCGTGAATTGAGAATACCCGTTAATATAGCCGAAATACCGCACTTATGTGATTTCTGGTTTATGCCAACATATCGTGATGAGCATTTACAAGTCGCAATCTCTACAAGTGGAACTGGACCTCAAATTGCTCATAAGATCAGACAGCATATAATTGAAAGTTTACCTCAAAATATTACAACTGCAATTGATAATTTGGCTCTTTTGAAACAAAGTTTAGGTGGCTCTAATATATCTGTGCTTTCAAAGATAACCGATACGTTACCTTTGAACCAAATCGCACAACTTTCAAATGATGATATTAAGAAATTGATATCTGAACATATTAGAAATGTTGATGATGAGGAGACTGAAGTTTCTTCAAATTCTAGTAATGATGAGAAAAAATCAGATGTTACGTTCGTTGATGAACGTCAGAATAATAGTACTACACTTAAATCAAAACTTATCAATGAAAATGGTGATGATATTATTTCGCCATTCACTTCAGGTGGTATTCAATTGGTAGATGGTAAAACTGCAGTCGAACATATCGCCTATGCTTTTAGTACGACATCATTTATTTATCCTACAACTCGAACACATTACATTGGGGAAGCAGCTTTTAATTGGGCTTCACAAAGTGTCCGTAATGCTTATGGACAATTGAGTCAAGTAATTAAAATGGACACTCGTTATGGAGCGTCCACAGCAATTTTGGGCACAACCTCTGCAACATTGGACAGAGTTTCAATTTTCACAACTTCACAATCAATTGTTTCTATGATCCCTAATTTTTACGGTATCGTACAAGGGAAAATCCCACTGGTCATACACGTTTCCGCTTTAGGAAATGATGATCAAATGAACAATTATGTGAATTATAATGATGCTTTGACAGCGCGTGAGACAGGTTTTGGAATAATTAATTCTTATTCTTCTCAAGAAATTCATGATATTGCATTGATAACTCATTTGGTTTCAATATCAACAAAAACTCCGTTTCTTCATGTGTTTGATGGGTTAAGAACAGCTTTCGAGTATTCTAAAGTCGAACTTTTACCCTATAACGAAATATCAAAGCTTAGCGATAAATTAGTAAAAAATTTTTCCACCGAAAATTCAGTTGTAGATTACATCGAAATTGTTGCTGATAAAGTTGGTCAACTCACAGGACGAAAATATCATGCTTTTGAATATATTGGAGATCCAAACGCCGAATCGATTCTTTTTGTTTTGGGCGGTGAAACTGTGATAGCAAAAGAAACTTTAAAGAAAATTAGCGGTGCTGAGAGGAAAGTTGGCGTTATAATTGCAAGAGTATATCGTCCATGGTCGGAAAAGCACTTTTTGGCAGCTGTACCAAAAACGATAAAACGAATTGCAATTCTTGAACAAGTAGCATCTAAAGAAGATTATTCTTATGGGTCATCAATATTTAGTGATGTTGCTGTATCATTCTCATCTAACCTTTGGAAAGGGACATGTCCAACATTGATAGACGCAAAATATCCAACAACACAAAAGTTTTCTCCACGTGTAATTCACCAGCTTTTGAAACGATTGGAAGCCAACGAAGATATTATTTTTAATGAAGAACTTTTACCAGGAAATGTTGACAGTTTAAATATAAATAATGTGAAGCAATGTTTATTTTGGGATTTGGAGTCTAAAGAGACTGTTCAAACCGTTAAACATATTTCAAAAATTCTTGGACAACATTCTCGATTCAATTTATCCACATTCTCCACTTTTGACATATATAACAATGGAAGTGTTGTAACAACAAATCTGCAATTAGGAAATGAAGTTATAAGTGGATTTCAAGATATTGAATCTAGTTATGATTTCATTTCCATACATGATGTTAGTTTAACAAGTAAATATAATATACTAGCATCAGCTAAAAATGGGGCCTTTATTGTTCTTAATACAACTTGGACAGTAGACGAATTGGAGACAAAATTACCAAATGATTTTAGATATGAAGCCTCAAAGAAAAATATCAAGCTTTATATTTTGAATAGTGAGAAAGTAGCTCAGAACGTGGGTTTGAATTTAGACGTTGCTACTAATGTTATACTTCAAAGTACATTCTTAAAATTAATCAACCGTGAAGTCAAACTTGATTGTACTTTGGAAGATTCTATCATAGATTTATATGAAGGTAATAGTGAAAAAGAAGTTTCATTGTTAATTCGTAATATTTGCCAACAAACAGAGAAATCAATCATAAGTGTTGAACTTCCTCCTACGTGGGGAATATTGGAAAAATCAGATCAAAATTTACCTTTAACAATTCAAAGCAATTCATTAGATAGAAATCTAGATAATCCTGAGATAGAAAAACCAAAACTCCAAAGTTGGCATGCAGTAGCTCGGAATCTACTCTTCAAAGAAGCTTTTGATTCAAATCAAATTACTCGACCAGATTTATCTGAAAAGACTTATACCATTCGTGTTAGTGAAAATCGACGTTTGACTCCGATATCTTATGATCGTTATTTATTCCATATTGAGTTTGATACAACAGGAACGGATCTTAAATATGATTTGGGAGAAGCTCTGGGTGTTTATGGACATAATGATAGCGAAGAAGTCAATAAATTCTTGGAATTTTATGGACTAAATCCCAACGATATTATTTTATTACCAAACAAAGGTGATCGCCTTGAATCTAGAACTATATTTCAAATATTTGCACAAGTCCTGGATATCTTTGGTCGTCCTGCAAAGCGATTTTATGACTCTTTGGCACAATACGCCACTAATGAAAAAGAGAGAGAAAAGTTACTATGGATAGCAAGTAACGAAGGATCTCAAGAATTCAAACGTCGTGTTGAAGATACAATCACATACGCAGAAATATTGTATGAGTTCTCCTCTGCACATCCACCTATTGAAGATCTCGTACAATTAATTGCACCGATTAAACCACGTCATTATTCGATTGCATCCGCTCAAAGCGTACATCCTAATAGTGTACATCTTTTAGTTGTTACAGTTGAATGGGAAAATTCTAGAAGTGTAAAACGTTTTGGCCAATGTACTCGTTATTTATCCGGTCTTAAAGTTGGAGAAAACGTAATTGTTTCTATTAAACCTTCCGTGATGAAATTGCCTCCAAGAGATACTCAGCCCGTCATCATGGCCGGTTTGGGTACAGGAATGGCGCCATTTCGTGCATTTATCGAAGAACGTGCGTATCGTAAATCACAAGGCAAAGAAGTTGGTCCTATGATACTTTATTTTGGATCACGTAATAGGTCAATGGAATATTTGTATGGAGAAGAATTAGAAGCTTATCATACAGAAGGTCTACTCAGTCATTTGAGATTAGCATTCTCGCGTGATCAAAAACATAAAGTATATATTCAGCATAAGATGCAAGAGGATTCTGAATTGTTAAATCAATATTTACTTAAAGATGAAGGTTGGTTCTATCTTTGTGGACCCACTTGGCCGGTACCTGATGTTAAAGATGCGATTGTTAATAGTTTTGTGACATCAGGCGGTCTTTCTTCAGGCCAAGCAAACGATATGGTAAATAAGTTGAAAGATTTAGAAAGATATATTCTTGAAGTTTATTAAATTTAAACGTTTAGATGTTAGTCATATTTGTACATTATAATTTATGACGTTCTCGGTATCACTAATTATTCAAAAAAAAAAAAAAATTGTAATAATGTATTTTTATAATATAATAATCAAAAATAAAATAATTAGATACAATGTTTTATTTTCCATACAAATTTCCTTTAGCGTGAGGAAAATTCGAAAGTTGCGGTAAAATCATTAGATTTTTTTTTTTTTTTTTTTTTTATTATTTATTTATTAGATTCACATTTTTATGTAATTATTTATTTTAGTACATGATAAATCTATTTAAATGTCTTTTTTAAAAATAATAATAAAATAATAATATAATTGAATTGTGTACAAATAATATTTTTTTTTTTATCTATTCTATACAAAGGATTAAAAACCAGACTACAACGGTATAAAATTATTTTAATAAACCATAAACCACGTTAAAAGCACATAAATTTATTTTTTTTGGATAATAATTGTTCGACTTGACTTTCAAGTTTTGCATAAGCTATCTCGACCTTCTTTTTTAATTCCCTTTCTTCTGCCAGAATCTTTTCTATTTCCTCCTTCTCTTTAACAGATGTTATCATTTCTTCATATTCATTCGTTACGGTTACTAATTGATACTTTAGATTTTCTATTTTTCTTTCAAGATCTAACTTTTCGCGACGCAAGATATTTAATTTTTGTTTAGCTTCACTTAACTCCTCTTCACTTTCCTTAAGTGTTTCTTCAAGCATTTCGATAAGTTGTGTTTTTCCATCATTCTCCTCTTCTAGCTCTGCAATTTTTTTATTCAATTCTTGTATCTCGGAAACAGATGATCGTGATTCATTTTCTTGCGTTTCAAGATGAGCGGTTGAAATAATTCCGTCTTGACCAGAATTTACTATTTGATCAGCTTTATTCCGTTCTGCTTCATTTGTTTGTTCTTTAGCTTCAAGCTCCTTAGCCTCTAATACTGATTCTAATTGAGAAATTCGTTCTTTGTGTTCATCAACACGAATCTCAGAGTCTGAAAATTTATTAGCAACATCTTCGAAATCAGTTGTTAATGAATCAAAGTCTCTTTGTAGTTTGTGAATTTTCGATTCAAGAATTCCATTCTTTATAATGGCCTCATTTCTTTCAGCTATAAATTGCGTTGATTTTTGTTCCAATTCCTCAATACGTTCATTATTGACCTTTGCTTCATTTTGTAAAAGGACGCATTGTTTTCGAAGTGCTTCAATCTCAACATTCGCTTGTTTGAGTTTTATAATTTCTTCATCACGACGTTCTCGTGCTTCTTGAAGTTGAGATTCTAAAGATTCGACATAATCAATACTATAAATTTCGGAATTCTTTACTTTTTCGAGTTGAGCTCTTGTTTCATCTAAAATATTTGTTAAATCTTGTAACTTTTCTTCCTTTTTCTTCAAAGCTGTTTCCAAATTTTCAATTAACGTTGCCTTTTCAGCTTCAGAAACTTTTAATTCTTCTAATTCTATGGTCAAATTCTTTACATGATCACATGTTATTTCTAATTCTCTAATATATTCCAATTGTCGATCAGCTAATTTTTGAGCATCTTGAAGTTCTGATGATGAACCGACTTCTGCAACCTTTGATTGAAGCTCTTTGACTCGTTCCGACTCTAACGATTTAGACAATTCTAACGCTGTTTTTGCCTTATTGACCATTTCTTCTAATTCCATTAGACGTGCATTTTTTTCGGTAATCATTTTTTCCTTTTCTAATAATGCCGAATTTGCTTCTTTTAATACAGTCTTGAATTCATTAACCATTTGAGCACGTCTTTGGTCAGATGCCTTAGATTCATCAAGTTGTGATTCTACTTTAGTCAATTTTCCTCCAAGTGTTGTCATTGTATCCTGATAAGTTTGAGCTGTGGATTTTGATTCTTCAAGTTGAGACTGTAGGTCGGATATAGTGAATTCAAATGCTGCGATCGCTTCTTTTTGTTTCATTTCTTGTGTCACAATTGTTCTAGTCAATTGATTAGTACGTTCGACATATTGATCACGTTCCTTTTCCAAAATTTTCACTTGTTTTTCAAGTTCAATCAAAAGTTTATTCTGTTCTGTCATTTCATTTTTAGTATTTGACAATTCTTTACGTAGAGATTTATAATCTTTATCATCAACCATTCCACCTTCCTTTAACGAGTGAATTTCGGCTTCCAACGCTTCAATCTTTTTTTCATCTTCATCTCTTTGTTCCAAAGTGTTGGCTAAAAAGTTGGTCATGCCATCAAGTTCTTTTAAACTAGCTGCGTGATTTTCTTTGGCCATATTCAATTCCTCCATCATGGTTTGTAGTCCTCCTTCAAGATTTGTGACAAGTTTAGTTTGTTCATAAAAATTTTCCTTCATACATTCCCATTCTCTTATTACAGTTTCCTTGGCTTCTTTTGTTTCTTGAAGTTGAATTTGTAATCGAAAAATGGTCGCTGTTTGTCCGGACTCTGACTCTTTCAATACTTTCAATTCATTCCTCATCAATTGCAACTGTTGATATTTCTCTTGAGCATTATTTAAATGTTGTTCTAAATCATGAACTTTTTGTTGAAGTCGAAATTCGGAAGTTTTTAATTCGGCCAATTCGTTCTTTAAAGAAAAAATTGTGGGATCTTCTTGAACTAGTTTTATTCTCATTTCAAGGGTTTGAATTTTCATTTGTTGTTCAGACTTTTCAGAGCGAAGCTGTTCGATTTCTTCATTTAAACGTTTAATCAATAACGAATCTTGAGAAAACGATGACGTTTGAATTTCATTTAGTTTATTTTCACGATCTTGAATCATTTCAAGTTGTTGGTTTTCTTTTAATTTTAGTTTATCGATTTCATTTTGAAGGATTGATACTTCAGATTTAGATTTGTTCAATTTAGATTCAAGGTTAGAGATTGTTATTTTTTCTAAAGTATTAGATTCTTTTGCTAAAGCTAATTCAGTTCTCAATTTTATTAAATCATTAAAATCTTCAACTTGAACGCCATTTTCCGTTAATTGAGTTTCTAATACTGCAATCTGTTCCCTTTGCGAAATTTCTAAATTACGTAATCGTTCCAAGTCTTTTTGCAATTTCGATTCCTCAGCATCTAAGGTTTTTAATCGCTCCAGTGCAAAGGCTTCCTTTTCTTTTGCTTCTTTGGATTCTTTTCTTAATACTTCTAATTCGCTTTGCAAAAATTTGCTAACATTATTAAATTTTTCAAATTTTTCCAATTGATCTTGTAATTCTTTCATTTGGTCTTGCATGCATATATCTTTACTTTTGATTTGATCTAATTGTTCTTTGAGAAAAGCAACTTCTGTTTCCTTTTCTTGAAGCATTTGTTGTAAAGTACCTTTATCTACTAAATCACGTTTTAAAGACTCAATAAGTTCATTTTTTCGTTTAATATCTAATTTAAGAGTAAATAATTGGGATTGTAAAGTAGCTACTAATTCTTGCTCGCCGTTCAAATTTTGTACATTGTCGGAATTTTTAGTCAATACCTTTTGTAAAGTAGCAAGTTTAGTTTCAAGATGATCCATCGTTTTTTGTGTTGGATCCATAATATGAAGAATAGACGTTCGTGGGGATATTGATCGAGATTCTTTTGCTTTTGTTAATCGAGTTTCAAGTTCTTTAACTGTGTCTTCCAATGCTATTACGTTCTCATCATTGCTTTGTTCTAGTTTGTCAGCCGAACTTTCTTCAGATATCACGTCGCTTTGGAAAGAAGTAATGTTATTATCTGATGAAGATTCAGAGATAATAGAAAATTTGCTATTTTTTTCTCCTATAGCAATACGAAGTGCTTCTTTTACCTCACAAAGTTCACCTTCAAGATGTCGAATCTTATTTTCACGTTCATTTCCTGGGAGCAAAAGTGCAGCGATTGTATGACCCTTTGATTCAATGTCTGTCTGAAGTTTAGAAACTTGTTCACGAAGATTCAGTAATTCATCTTTTTCTTTATCAAAGATTTGTTGAGAATCTGAATCAACTTCGGAAATTTGACGATGATTTTGGAATTCTAAAGCTTTAACGAGTTTGTCTTCCAATTCCTTGACCCGAGATTGTAACTCATTAACAAGTTGTTCACTGGCATTCGTATTAATGTCTCTTTGCTTCTCTTCAGCTTGACGCAATTGTTCTTTGAGTTCATTAATGTTTGATTCCAGTTTTTCAACTTCTTCCGCCTTCTTCTTATTCTCATTTTCACGTTCAGCAATACTTTCCATTGCTAATTTTTGTTTCTCTTTTAATTGTTCAACTTCTTTACGAAGTCGTTGAATAATTTCAAGTTCATCAATGTGACTCGAATTAGGCGAATATGATTGGTCCGTAGTTTGTTCGGAATTTATTACTGATTTTACTTCCAATTTTGCTAGTGCATCACGTCTTCTAATTTCCTCACGAAGTTCCTCAACGACTTGTAACGTTTCACGATGATTTAATTCTAAACGCGATAATTCATGTTTGACGGCATCTAGACTCTGTGATTTATCTTTATGAAAAGATTCCAATAATTTTAATTCAAATTGAAGCTTGTCCACTATAGCGGCATGAGCACTATCATGCTTCTCCGAATTTAAAAGATCAGCGGATAATGACTTGACTTTTCGATGAAGTAAAGATTTAGAAGCAAAAGGAGCGACGGCATTACTTGAAAATTCTTTGGTATAAAGGGACATGGGAGTCATGGGAGTCATCGGTGTCATTGGTGTGGACGAAATAGAATGTAAATCTTCAACCATTTCAGAATGTATATCGAGCTGTGATTGAAGTTCTTGAATTACATTAAGAGACTCCTCATATTTAAATTTAGTTTCTGCTAATTCCGCGACAGTTTTTTCATAAGTTTTTTCCAATTCGGAGAGTTTCGATTCAAGTGTTGTAATTTTTAACCGGTCATTATCATTAATTTGTGGGGAAGATGATAAATTTGCTTCTTTTAGTGAAGATTGAAGATCTTGAATTTCGTCTAGACTTGATTGATATTTGATTTTTACGTCAATCAATTCAGTAACAGTATTTTCGTGTGATTTTTGTAATTCAGCAAGTTTAGTTTCAAGATTTATAACGGTAAAGAGATTTTGTTCACCTGAAGGAGAGGAAGATCGGTCTTCGCCCGCGGTTATCGAGCTATTTGAATTTGTGGCTTCTAACCTTCTTAGTTTGTCAAGTTCTTCGACTAAAAGATTTAATTTGAATTCAAGTTGATTAATTCTTCGATCACGATCATCGAGTTTATCCAGGAGAACTTTTGTTTCTTGAGTGACGGGAACGCTTTCAACTCGTTCCTTCTTAAGTTCATTCAACTGTGCTTCCACTTCTTCATATGCAGCGTCACGTTCTTTTAAGCGTTGTTCAAGTAATCGAACGGTTTCACTAATGAATTTTTCGGGATGTTCCAAACGAGTTGTTTGCAAGTTTGCTTCAATTTCACGTTTTTCTAATTTTGATTCGATTTCCTTGATGTAATTTTGTAGACTATTAATGACATTCTTGTTATGTTCATTAGATTCTTCAACTTCTTTGTGATTTGCCTCTTGTTCTAATAAAAGATTCTCGGAATGAGATAATGCAGCGTCCATTATGGCTAATTTACTTTCTAAAGAAGATATGGTTTTTTCATATTCTTCAGTTTGCCCATGATTATTTGTCTCATCATCGTAATTATTTTGATGCATTGCCAATTCCGCAGAAGTTTTAGCATATTTTTGTGTGAGTTCAGCATAAGAACGTTGTAATTGTGAAAGTTGGTCTTCTAACATTTCAATTTCTTTAGCAAAGTGAACATTTCCATGAGCAAAGGTTGTAAGAGGTGAAGAAGTTCGTCTCATCGAACTTGGAGTATCCCTCCCGTTCGTTGGTGTATTTCGTCCAGGTATTCCGGAAGAAGGTGTGATTCGTCCTGGTATAGAAGGTGGGGTATTGCGACCAGGTATACCAGAGGTTGGAGTACTACGTCCTGGTAAACCTGACGTTGGAGTATTTCTTCCTTGTATAGTAGCCACGTTAACGGAGTTCTTCCGACTTGGAATATTTCCGGCAGTAGGAGTAACCCTACCGGGAGTAATAGTTCCACTAGAACTATGTTGCTGTTGTTGTAATCCCAACGTTGCATTGGTAATTTTCAAGGCATTATTCTCTTGTCTTAACTTAAGAACCAAGGATTGTAAATGTGAAACATCACTCCAACCCATTTCTTCTTGATTAACCACGGCATTATTTTTAATGTTTCTTGCTCGATTTGCATATTTTAAAGTACTTAAAGTTTCATTAAGATTATATTCTGCTGGTGAAATGCACGCTATTAATAATGTTTTTGCATTTCCACCTAAAGAGTCTTGTAATAATCTTGTAAGCTTTGAGTCTCGATATGGAATGTGAGTTGTATGTTTTGCTTTGCTGGGATCTCCTAATGCCGAGATTACGTTGCCCAATGCTAATAATCCCGAATTTATGGAAATTCCTTCTTTCGCCCTGTCCCCACTAGCGGCCGTTCGTTTTAGCTATATAAATAGGAAAAGAGGGTGAGTGTAAGCGACGCGACAATTTTTTTGAATCGAATTTTGAACTTATATGCTTACTCTTTCACTACCAGCTAAATCCACAAAGTGAAATTTACTTGTTATATTAACCCATTCTCCGTCATTACTACTCATAACAGAATTTGCTCTTGAAGGAGCTCTTGAACCAATAGATCTTGAAGATGGTGTTCCGGGTCTTGAATAAGTAGGTGTCATAGGTGACATCGGAGGGGCATTTTGACCATTATTCGATACAAACTTTTGTTGAAACATTGTTACGGAAAATATTGCATGAGATCTAGAGGATTTTGCGTTCATATCAGTTGCTCCAACTTGTCGATGTTGCGAACCTCGAGCCAAATAACTAATTAGTAGGAAAAGAAAAAAAAAAAAAATAAGAAAACAAAATGATATTAGTAACTTCACGTATTTTTTTTTTTTTATTTTTTTATTTATTTTTACTTCATACTTACTTTATTACTTCTTCAACGCACGTAACTTTAACTTCTTGTAATCCGCTCCAATAAATGTTTCCTTTAGAATCTTCTCTGATTAATACAGGAGGTCTCTCCTCTTCTTCACCTTCACCAAGTAAATCAATTAAATCTTCATTATGAATCTCAATAAATGATACAAACAGTGTAATTTTTCTATGATCCGTTTTCGATTGATGTATGGAATTAATGTTGGAAAATAATGTAGACATCGCTCTTGGTATTATTCCTTTTGATATTGAAGGTACTGAAGGATTATCAGCTGTACCCATTGTATGTGTTTTTCCTGAAGATGTTTGCCCATATGCTAATATTGTTACATTGAATCCTAAAGAAAATATTTATGTATGTATGTATATATGTCATTATTTGATTAAAAGGTTTAATCATTATGTTATCGGATAAATTACCGGAAAATTCATTCGGACATCCAAAAAAATATTTTACCTTCCAAAAATTTAGAAATTAAATGTTCAACAGATTTTTCATAAATTTCTTCTTGAGTGGTCTCGGGTGGATATACATGATCAAAATGAAATGTTTGTCTTTTATCACCTTCAACAATAATTTGATTCGTTGCGTAAGGTGACGTAGTAATAATTTGTCTTTGAAATCGTGTAGGTAAATTTTCTAAATCATGTTCCGTTAATGGTTTTACACGTATTGCTTGAATATTTCGAATGTGCAAAATAATAAAACATTGATGATGACGTTACAATTTAATTTTAGATCATTCATTTTTTTAAGCAAAATTTTTTTTTTTTTAGAATTCGAAGTTCTTACCAACTTGTACCGAGACCTTTTCAGATCCCCCACCGGTGGAGTTCATTTTTTAAAGTATTTTATTTTTGAAATTGTTCTTATTAAATTAATTTTTTTTTGTAAATTAATTTTTTATTTTATTTATTTAAAATGTCATTTGCTTTAAAGTGATATTAAAGAAGGATCCGGTCCTCTGGATATAAAAATAAATAAAGATTCTTTTTAATAACCTATAAATATTTTAAGGTTATCCGCAATACTAAAAGTAGTCGAAGTAGTCGGCGTGTTTTTTAGAGGTTTTTTTTTTTTAAAAAAAAAAAGAAATAAAACGAGAGAGTATTTTGAATTTAATGTAAAAAAACTTTTAGAATCTATTAATCGAAAATGGTTAAAGTTGTACCAAAAAAATAAATAGGTAAATTTCTTTGTTAAAGAGATTCTTTTTAAAGTTTGATTATTTTTTTTTTCAAACAAAAGGTTCCAGGATGGGATTAGTTGTGAAACTATATAATTTTATAATAGGAAAAATGGAATAATATGAAAATTTAATTTGTTAAAGAAGAAACATTTGATTATTCCGAAGATAACAAATATAGAAATATATGAATCAAGACCATCGAGTCGTTTGACGTGACAATTATAAGATAGTTTGTGCATCTAACTGCATTGTCATTGTATCGAATTCCATTGTTTTTTATCTTCTTAAACAAGTCGTAACTTTTAAGATGTTACGTAACGAGAATCCTTGAAAAGGTCTCAACTTTACATGGTGAATCTCGATAAAATGGTGAAAAAAAAAAAGATTTCAAATAAATCTGTTATATCGAAGTTTTATTAGGATCGATCCCGGTATATTTTACTATGTCTATTGTTGTGTTCTCTTAAGTTAAACAAACATATGATTTGATTTCTTAAACCCCAAACAGTTCTTATTGCATGCATTTTTGATTTTTTTTTTTTTTTTTTTTTTTTTTAATTTAAAACGTTATTGGATTGGAAGTTGCATTCACCTACTAATCAAAGTTTAAAGTGAGGCGTTTAGGTGTTTCCCTAAGTTCTAAAAATAACTTTTTCATTTGATAATGTTGGTGTCAGGTAAGGGGTATTTTGAAGGATTACCATGGAACATATTTTTAAACGATCACTTTCCACAAATAAACGCCTAATTTATCCATATCATTACATTTATTTAGAGCGTTTAAAAGAGTTTCACTTTTATCTTGGCAATAAATCTTCAGCAACCTCATAAAATCTTTAACGTTTAAACGTTTGGTTTTTGAAAACAAGAGATTTTTTTGACATTTATTACTAAGATACTTAAAGAAACTAGCAAAAAAAAATTAATTAATTTTCACCATCTTGGAACGTATGACCAAAACATCACTAACCAAAAAAAGAACATTTTGATAATCTTATCCGAATAATCTCATCTGATAAATAAATTTTGTCATAATATTTCAAAGGCCCCGTTTTTTTCAACTTTTTTTACTTATTCTGAAAAAGTATTTTTATCAAAAACGTTAGAAAAATTACAAAAATTACCAATTTGTAGTTTACAATTCTTTTTTTAAAAAAAAAAATTTTTCTTTTTGGAATAAATCATTAAATTTTTTTTTTTATTATTATTAATCTATTAAATCACTTATTTAGAAAATGTCAAATCAAGTAATCAAAACATTTAGCAATCAATACAAGTTACCAAGATTACCCATTCCTTCATTAGAAGAGAGTACAACAAAATATTTAAATTCACTTAAACCTCTTCTTTCTTTTGAAGAATTTGAGTATACTAAACAACATGTAAAGGATTTTATTAAACCTGGTGGACTTGGACAAAAATTACATCAGCGATTAATCGATATTGATCGAATTTCTCCATATAATTGGCTTGATGATACCTGGTGGATAAAAAAAGCTTATCTTGAATGGAGAGCTCCAGTAATAATTAATTCAAACTGGTATCTTTTATTGATTGATGATCCAAATACTCCAGAAGAATACTTTACAAATAATAATGAAATTTGTCTAAAAGGACAATTTTCTAAATGGCAAATCAAAAGAGCTGCTCATTTAATTGAAAAAATGTTAGAATATAAAAATTTAATTGATACAGAAAGCATTCCTCCAGACATTACACGTACATATCCTTTATGTATGCATCAATATACACGTTGTTATGGTATTACTCGTATACCAAAACTTAATTGTGATGAATTAATATATACTCCACATCCTGCTCCTGCTAAACATATTCTTGTTATTATAAAAGATCAGTTTTATATTTTGAATGGTTATGATAAAGATGGACAAAGGTATACTGATGGAGATATTGAAATGTAAGTAATAAAATTTTAAATAATATAATTATTTTTTTACTTATTATAATTATTTATATTATAGTCAACTTCATCAAATAGTTGATGATGTTTTAAAAGTACAACTTGATCCTCCAATTGGAGTGCTTACAGCTGATGATCGTGACTCTTGGGCTATGGTAATTTTTTTATTAAATAATATATTTATATATATATAAATAATTATTTTACTTTCTATATTGATTTTATTGATTTTATTTAGGCACGTGAAAATTTACTTACAAATTCTTCACAAAATCGAGAAACTTTAACATTAATTGAAAATGCATTATTTATAATTAATTTGGATGATTATTCAACGGGAATGGGTTTTGATAAATTTAGTCAAAATATGTTTCATGGATTAAACGCTCATAATCGTTGGTTTGATAAAGCAATGTCTATTGCAATAGAAAATAATGGACGTGCAGCTATGAATGGAGAAGTAAACATAATTACAAAATTATTATTAATTTTATTTATTTATAAATTAATTATTAAAATTTCTTCTTATAGCATTCACCTTGTGATGCTCTTATACCTTCAATTATTTTTCAATGGATTGGTCTTGAACCAACTTTACCAAATGCATCAGTTTCAGGACGTTCAATTATTTCACCAAAAAGAATTAGATTTACAATAAATGAACAAACATTAAAAGATATTTTTGAAGCACAAAAAAGAATTGATCCTATAATTGTTGATTCTGATATTGTTATATTACAATTTTCAGAATATGGTATTCAATTTATTAAAAAAATTGGTATTTTAAAATTTTAATTAATTAATTTATTAAGAAATTTATATATTTTATATTATATATTTATTTTATCAATTTATAGCAAAATGTTCACCAGATGCATATATACAAATGGTATTACAATTAGCATATTTTAAAACACATCAAAAAGTTGTTCCAACTTATGAAACTGGATCAACTCGACAATTTTTACATGGACGTACTGATACAATTAGAACACTTAGTTTAGAAAGTAAAGCATTTGTTGAAGGAATGGAAAATAAATCATTAACTGTAATATTATTTTTTTTAATTTTATAAATTGTTTAATAAATATTAAATAATTTTTAATTTAATAGGTACAACAAAAATATAATTTATTACAAGCAGCAACAAAGGCACATAGTATTTATTCACAAGATGTTTCTAATGGTAAAGGTTGTGATCGTTATTTATTAGGATTAAAACTTTTACTTCAAAAAGATGAATCTCATCCAATATTTACAGAAACAATTTTTATTAAAAGTCAAGAATGGATTTTAAGTACAAGTGGTCTTAATTCTGGTGATAAATTAAATGGTAAATATAAATAAAAAAATTTTATATAATTATATAAAATTATTAAACTTAATTTTACTTTAATATAGGTACTGGTTTTGGATGTGTTTATCCTAATGGATATGGTATTAATTATCTTTCTGGAGAATATTTATTAAAGTTTGGTATAGAGTCCAAATATTCTTCTTCTGAAACAGATTCAAATGCATTTAAGCAAAATATTATTAATGCATTAAAAGATATGAAAGATATTTGTGAACAAATAAATAGTAATTATGAAAAAGAAGATAGATTATAAATTTATAAAAAAATTATTTTTATATTTTAATAAAAAATATATTTCAATTATAATAATTATATTTATAATTTAAATTAAATATAATTATATTTTAAATAAAAACTTAAAATTTTATATATTATTATCTAAATAATTATCTCTTCATCTGTAAGCCTTCGCAGACATATTTGTCTGCAAAATTTTTGAATTTTCAATCCTTATCTAAAAATTTAATGTGCATTACAAATAATAACAAATTATATATTTTTAAATAGCCTAAGTTTCGAATTTTATGTGCAAGATAATTTTTTTATCTAGAAAAATATAAATAAAAAGTTTACTATACGCTAAATAGATTGCATTTTTTATAAATTTTAATTTTCATAAAATTCACCATTAGGTTTGTAAATTTATTTTAGAATAAATTTTAGCTTAATCATATCTTAAGAAAGTTTGTAAAGCAATCAATTTATAAAATTTTATAATTATTTAATTTTTATTTATTTAATAAAGTATATCTATAATATTAATAAAAAAAAACTAACCAAATATAATATTATTCATTATTTAATAAATGAAATTCTTTAAAGCATGTTCGGCAGACTTTATTACAATATAATGGAACATTACATTCACTATACCAAAAATTTGATTGAAGAGAATTTTTTAAAGTCGATCTATCATTTTGTTTTTGTTGAAAATAGCATCACAGATAAGCTTCTCTTTTATCCCTATATTCTACATAATGATTATTATTAGTTAATCTAAATAAAGGCAATTCATATGAACTTGTAACCTAAATTTTTTAGAATTATCATCATTCATATTGTTCAAATTCTATATTGATTACAATCACTTTTTGTTTGCCTTAAAAAGTCACTATTATCGTTATGAATTTTAATTAATCCATAAACTAAATTCAATCTAAAATTTTTATGATCTTTTATCACATTTAATTTCTTACAAATTAAATAAAAGTTTATAATTGCTGTGTCTAATAGCCAAAAGAACAGTAGTGGCTAAATTCGAAAAATGGCTAATTGTATTAAATAATAAGAACGTAATTGATCAGTCATATCTACTCTGCCATATGATAATTGTAATTATCAATTATTTTTAGGATTGGTAAAGATTTATGAGCCATATTTTCAAATATGAATCTAACTTTTTTACTATTTATACTTGTTTTTCTAAATCACCTACATTCTTTATAAATTTTATCATTAAAATTATATATTGTACTTAGCATCATTACAGGTCCATTATTAATCCATAATGTTACCAATATATTATCTACAACAACATCTTTTAAATAATCCCAATCATTTGCCTTTTCTTTTTCTTTTTTTTAAAATTATAGAAAATTTTGCTGTATTAGTTCTAACTGTGTTATATACTATAATACCTTTTTTTTAAAGAAAAGAAAATAAATTTATACTCAAAAAATAATTATCTATATAAATGTTAAAGAACTTTCGTGATGGTAGTTGGCTAACTAAATGATAAACTTCAGCATTAGTTTTATTAACATTAGCAATAGGATTAACATTAGAAGATTTAACTCTTGATGTAAATATAAAGATAAATGTATAACTTGATTCACATAATGATAATATTTTATAGCCTTCTGAGGTTAGTTTATTCTTTATTTGAAATATATGAGCATTTTACCCAAAGAATCAGACTATCATCTCATCAATTGCAATATTAGATGCAGGAAGATAAAGTTTTTTAAATGTATTACAAATATGTAAAGCTAATAGCTCAACTTTAAAGAAAATATTGGTTTGTTGTGTTATATCTGAAATATATAAATATACCTTTATATAAAAAATTATTAAAAATAATTTAGTAAAAAAGTTTTAATGTAAATAAATTTATTAATTATTTTACTCATCTGTTGAAACTGAAATAAAGACATAAATTTTGTAATTTCATCTATATTCTAATAATTTTTTTACAAATGGAAATTTAAAAATATCCATATATATTATAAAAGCAAGCCATATCTTTAATTCATCAATTATTAATTTTACATATTTACGATTCTCTTTAGATGTATTGCTAGTTTTTATAATTTGATAATATGCATAGATATTTATATTTTGTATAATTATTTTGATTTGTTTTGAAAAAAAAAATTGAGAAAACAAAATATAGAGTAAGATTTTTAGGAAAAGAGAATTTGAAAAAATTATATTAGAATTATATAAATGATAAACATGTTGAAAAGGAGTAAATTCTTGAAAAGTTTCATTATTATTATTTTTCTTAGTTTTTTCTTATTATTAGCATTATTATCTACATTATCATCATCAGTTACTTCATCTAAATAATCTCATTTTCATATTAATTAATAAATATAACTTTCATAATTTTCATCAAAAATATTGTCTTCAACTTCTAACATTATTATAAGTAAAAAAAGTATCACAAAAAAAGAAATCAATAAAATATTGATAATTTTCAGATCAAGATTTATTAATGATAAATACCAAATAATACAAATTTTATTAAAATATTACCTCATTTTTGATAATTTTAACTCAAAACTTTGAATTTTAAAGCTCATTTTAAACAGAAATAAGCTGAATTTTCATAAAGAATCATAAAAAAAGAAAAATTTGTGTAATTTTTAATGATTTTTACGCTATATTTAAGGTGATATTGGTGATACATTTGACAATTTTTGGTGGTATTTATGAGACATTTTTTTGTGATATTATTTTTTGGTATAATATTATATAAAATAGTTTTTTATGAATTGATGGTTCGCAATTATAATAAATAATATAAAGTGCTAATTTTTTAATAGTTTCTTAGTTTTTTTAACAAATTTCTTTATTTAAATATATGAAATTGCTATCATTCAATTAATCTTAATAGGACGATTCTAATAAGTAATATTTCAACCTTTTATAATCACTCAATCTCTAGAAATTCTGATTAAAAAGTTTGCATTAAATTTACCTGCGAGAAATTTCATATGTAAATTGATTATATATTACATAAAAATTTAAATATGCTGAATATTACAGCCAATTTTTCTTATAATATAATTAAAGGATCTTAACATAATAATCTAATAATTTTTGTTATATTTAATTAATTTATTTTGTAATATTTTAAATCTAAAACTTTGCAGACATATTTGCCTGCATTATAGACAAAGAAATAATGTGATTAATTAATTATTTAAAATATAATATATTTAATTAAATTTTATTATTGCTAAATCTATAATCCTTATTATTAATTATCTGATTTATTTTAAATTCTATGATTCTTTTATTAGTTATATTCTAATTATTTTTAAATATTATGTTAAATATTAAAGAAGCATAATCTATTTTAAAAAAAGAAATAAATTATTTTATTATTTTGTAATTCTTTAATGGTATATTTATTTTAAATAAGAAATATTTTTTATCATATTTGCAAAATCTCATTTAATTAAAATTTTAGAAACATTTATATTTTAAATTCTTTTACTCACTTTTATTAAGAAGAAATATAAAAATTCTATCTGAATTAGCTATTTGTTCTTAATTTATTCTATTAAATTCTTAAATAAGTTTCTAATTTTTAATATAAATATTAATAAATTTAAAATTTGCTTCATCTTCTGTTAACTTTACATATAATTATAACTGATGTAAAATATCAATAATAATTTCATTTTTATCATCTTATTTTTTGAACATATTATAGAAAAAAATCTTCTGTTTATTACTAATATTAACATAATTTTTTTAACTTTTTTTCTATAATAATTTTTTTTTTTCTCTATTTATTACAAAAATTTCTATCTATTTTTTATTAAATTTACATTTAATATAAGTAAGAATAATTTTAACACATATATAAGCTATTTAATTTAAAAGTAAAATATTAAGTTCATTAGCATGTTAACTCAATTAATCTATGGTAAATTTAGCAGATAAGTTATACATTTTAAAAACTGATATAAGATTAATATAAAGTTATTTATTTTAGATTTTCAAAGCTTTAAAATAGTTACTTTAGTAATTATATTAATAAAAAGTAAACTATAAATGTTATATTTTAGTATATGTATATTAAAAATTCAAATCTTTAAAATAAAATATAATTACTATTTTTTCAATTATATTTTAAAAGATATTATTGCTAAAAGTGTCATATTTTTGAATTTTTATAATAAAAAAAGAAAATTTAATGTATATTAATCTTAAAAATTCTCTTAAAAAAGGGATATTATAATCTTAAATAAAATGTAGCTGATTCTAATTTACTATCTTGATTTTACTAATATTTTAAAAAGATAATTTTATTTGCGAAAAATATTTACATAAATCTGATTGTATTAAACTAAAGCTCTAAACAATTCAGATTAGTCTGAAAATTTTTAGTTTAGATCAACTTTAGTTTAATTTCAAATTGCAAAAATTCAATCTGAAAATTTCAGATTAATCTGAAATTTCAGATCATTTAGAATGATTAAATTTATCATTCTAAACAAACAATAAGAAAATCTTTTAATTGAAACAATTAAATTATCATTCCAAAAAAATGATAAAAGAATTGTTCATTTAGAACGATTGAAGTTATTATTTCAAATAAATGATAAGAAAATCGTTCAATTGAAATGATTAAATTATCATTCTAAAAGAATAATAAAAGGATCATTTGATTAGAATGATAAAATTATTATTTTAAACAAACGATAAAAGAATTGTTAAATTAGAATGATTAAATTATCATTTCAAAAGAACAATAAAAGAATTGTTCATTTAGAATGATTGAAATTATCATTCTAAATGAATAGTAAGAAAATTATTTGATTAAGATGATTAAATTATTATTCTAAAAGAATAATAAAAGAAAGGATCATTCAATTGGAATGATGAAATTATTGTTCTAAACAAACGATAAGAAAATTATTCAATTGGAATAATGAAGTTATTGTTCTAAATGAACGATAAGAAAATCATTAAATTAGAACAATTAAATTATCATTTCAAAAGAACAATAAAAAAAAG